GCAGTACAACTCTGAGAGCAACAAGACAGACATAGCTGGACAAAACAAAACCCCCACACTTCACACGTCTCAAGTCTTAGGATGGGAGTTTAGAGGCTTAACTCTAATCTGCTACTGCACACATTTGGAAGCCAGGCAAAGATGGCTCTGGTATGCAAGTTCCCTACGCTAAAAAAGAATATGTTTGGCTTAATTACCATGCTGTATTTCAAGGGAAGCACCATTAATTTTTGTGTCTAAAGAAATTAGTATGTGCCACTATAACAGAGCTGGTAGCAGCCAATGCTATAGAGACAAAATAGGCAATGAACAATGTCTCCAAGAGAGAATCATGTAAAAAAGGAATACCCCAAGTGTTCACATAAGTGACTAATAACAAGTGACTAGCTTCCTTGCATAACAGTGAGATTGCTGGTCAATGTAGCATATTGTACAATAAAAAATACTTTGTATAGGAAAAACATTGCACAGAGTGATGGAACGGGAAGAGTAAAAATCAGGAGAATGTAAAGACTATCTCCACCCCGACACACAAATGGCATTTTTGAAAGGCTAATAAAAACACTATTTACTCCTAACACCAGGAACACAGTAGACAGGCATTTTAGAATGATTAGTTAATGATTTGTTAGATTATTTAGTTAGGTGCTGCTAACTCCATTTCCTATCACTATCAAGTTAAACAACAGACATACAAAAGCTAAACCTAACAATTAAAAATAGCAGTTTGCAATGCATTATGCCACAAATAATCTGCACAACTTCATTCTGGGTAAACTGCATTTCCTTTACCCACCTAGCTACCTAAAGTGTAATAATACCTATAAATCTAATTTAGGACCTATATATATCGTGATATAGTGGGTATATTCTGTCAACATAATCGAGCACCCTGTGGAGACAAAAAAATTGGCGGCTACAACCAATTTTGTATTCCAGAGCCATCTATTTGTACTTAAAGCTTGCTGTTTGACAAGCTTTTAAGGAGCCATTAAAGATTCCTAAGCAAAAACTCCTAATGTGACTTGTTAGGAGCAAAGTCAGTGGACAAGGCAAGAGAGAAATGGGAGTATTATAAGGCTGCAATAAATTACTTCTACTTCCATTTACTTCTTACATGGTAGGGGATCTCTTCCACAGTAATCCTATTGCTTCCCTCAAGACTATCGGCAGATTATATTTTTATTATTTTTAAATATGATTTTTTACCAGTACCCAACGTACACAGTCAACAGAAAGGTTAAGAGTCTGGAGATGAGAATCTTCTCCAGCCTAACACCAATTGCCCAGATGCATCCCCCCCATCAGTCATTACTGTGCAAGTATTGTTTTTCAAGACCAAACTTTTTTAATATCAATGCTTAATGACATAGACAGCAAAACAGTAAATCAATTCAGAGAAGAACACAAAAAAAGATATGAAGAGCAGTGGTTCTCAGCCTTTTTACACTCAAGGCACTTCCTTGTTAGACTAAAGGCACTCCTTGCAAAATGTCATCTTAGTTTTCATTCATTTTTTGACTATAGAATAATAACCAACCAATTCTGTTGCAAATTACTCAGAAAGACCACAAAAGGTCAGAAAGTTTTTAACACGGAGGATTCCTATTTATAATCTCTGGGTTTATCTGAGTCATATTTGAACACCTAACCATGCTAACGTAGTGTGGCACCCTGTAGCACTCTTGAAAAGATCTCAAGGCACCTCAAGGTGCTATGATACCCTTGGTATAGAGACAGGCATGTTTTCACGTGAACTGCTTCCTCTGGCAGAAAAAGGGTCCATCTTTTTCACCTGTCAGACATTAATCGTTATTTTGTTTTGAAATAATTTTTTCAGGGTTTTGAAGGCAGAAGGTGGGGCAGGCTGGCATCTTACAGACTAGTTCAGAAATGCATATGCCAGTGGTTCTCAACTGAAGTTATGTAGCAGCAGCTAGGTAAAACTGCCCTGTGCACACTCCTGCTGCATTAAGACTCTGATCAGCCTAAAAACAGGCAGAGGCTGACTTGGTTGTAGCCCTTCTCAGTTCAGCCTCTATTTCCAGGAGGAGTTCAAGGGGGACCACACCAGGAAAGGCTGCACAGAACGAGGCAACTCCTGTCTTCGGGCTGATCAGAGCCCCAACACAGCAAGATACCATGCACATGCCACAGCCCTTCCCAGGTATGCTGTGCAGGAGATGCGGGGCAGTTTTATCTGAATGCAGCAACACCCAGATGAGAAACACCGAGGTAAATGGAGGCAGCACCAACAGTGGTTCTCAACTGGGGATACCATCACAATCAAAAAGTGTTGATGGGGTGCCCCAATTCTGAAAAAGTTGAGTGTCGCTGGCATAAATTTTCATAGATTACAGTTTATGTCAGATACAGATGGACTTGCAGAGAGCAGGGGTACTAAACAGAAAGGAATAGAGTTATCTAGATGCAAAAAATAGGGAAAGGAAGAGGAAATGGCAAAGGGAAGAAGGGGCATTGCTGAGAAAAGCAGTTAACCCAGAGGAATGTAGGTGTTACAAAAGACAATCCAAGTAATGGGACAAGAATCTACAATCTCTGTTGAGACCACCTTTAACACAATCTAGTTTGTGAATGATTTTTTATTCCACAGTTTTGTATATAGTAACTTACTTCCACACCTGTCTCACTTCTCCCCCCAATAAGGAAAAGTAAAAGGCTTTCATTAAAAAAAAACACAATTTAGCATGTGGTTATAGCTATACTTCATCTTTAAACTGCTCATGTTGTTGAAAGGTTTAAATTACTGTTTCTAAAACCATTCGAGATTGCTTACTTTTCCTCCACTCTACAGTGTTTATAGAAACTATAAATTGCACAGTATGCCAGTTTTGTCTACCATGCTTTATTTACACAATTCGTTTATTCTACACTTGTGGGGTAATATAGAAATGCCCTCTGTTTTGATTCTCATGCTTTCAGCACCAGTCACAGACATGCTGACACTTTTAGTCTCTCTCTCTCAAAACATTATTTTAATCTTACATGGTTTTTAAGATACAACACAGAATGAGCATTAATTTGTTTCTGAGTAAACCACAAGTGAGTGGAGCAGTAACTTTTACTATTTACCATAAGGTATGGGAATGCATTTCCATATCACTAGGCACGTCTACACAAGACACCGACTATGCAGTAGCCTGATATTACTGTGCAGTAGCGTTGTGTTGCAAAAACCAGGACGTGACGCTACTGCACAGTAGCATTAGGCTACTGAGCAGCAACATCACAAAAAAGGCATTTGCCACTAATTGTAATTATAATTGGTACTTGTACTAATAAAAGTACTAAATAAATGTGCAGTAACACCTCACATAGGCGTGGCTAGCCTGTATCAAAATGAACATTTTTGTCTGCTCCAGTAATCTTACTGTAGCAAGAGACAGGGCACTATAGTTTGTCTGTATCCATACAGTCCTCATCACCCACTCCTGGATGATGGATTGGTGAATAAACTTGAAATCTGCTTTCACTCACGCAGTTGTTTCCATTGATGGAGTTCCATTGGTGGAAAAGGAAACTAACACAAGTAGAGAAAAGTTTCAGCTGTAGATGCTGCTCACAAAATAAAACTCGCAAGGTTGAACCTCCAGAAACTCTAAGTTAAGAGTGTTCCAAATTCTGCATTATAAAATTTACCATTAAATAGTTCTGAATAAAATTTATGCTACTAATTATATTAGTGTTTTTCTCCCCAGGATTCTTCCAATTGTCTCATAAAACTTTGGAAAATAAGAAGTCATACTTCTGCCTAATACTTTTTAAAAACCGATTACTACTACACGTAACAACAAAAATTATTGTTAAGGGAAAAACTGAAATATCTCCCACAAATTGTTCCCTTCATTTTGTGCATGTAATGGGTGTAGAGTCACATAGTTTCCCCCCGTTGTTATGGAGATTCCATTTAGCAACAGGAAAAAGGAAAGAAAAAAATTATAAACTGTAAAACTGCGAAGTCAGGCTGAGGGAACTCCTGGGCAACTATTGCACTTGAATCTTATTTCATCTGCTACTTGAGCGGATGCTGAATTGTCTAAGTCAGGAAGGCTGCTGGCAGACGTGAAAAAAAACTTCCCTTTACCAGGACCTATTAGATAAACAGCATCAAAAAAGCCCCACTAAATCATACCAATCTATACAGACGTTGGGCAAGCTGGGTCCAACTAACATGATGCATCTTCGGGGCATTTGCTGGGCTTGATGCAGGGGTACACCGAGTCTAAAGTAAAGCACCATTTTCTTTTTCTTTTTTTTTAACATCTGTAAGCAGCCGAAGTTCTCAGAAGAGAGAGGAAAATCAACTGAGGTCACTTTCTATGTCTTCGGAACCTAGTATACAGGAGGACAGCCACAATTTAAGTTGTACAAGTGGCAGTGGTCCAACTTATTAGGAACTGCTGGGTCAAAGTTGAGCCAGAGACAGAATGCTTTATCCATCCCTTCTACGTACCTCCCCCTCCTTCCAGCCAAATAAATTCCCTATGTGGAGAACTGTGAAATTGTTCCATCCTCAGCTGCATGTTTACAGCAGGTAACCAGACACCTGGATTAGCTGTTTGAGGACTGAGCCAAGGAATAATGGGCCAGATTTTCTGATTTAGAGGTACATGCCATGGCCTCTGAAACTCAATGAATATGGTGCTTCTATTTACATCTTGGAAATATGCATCTCCGTGTCTCCTCCCATGCACTAAGTGCTTACCAAAGTGAGACCCTGATTTCAAATGAAACATTTCGCTCTCGCCAAAGAGTAAATATTCATGTTCTTTATGACGCTTTGATTTGGGAAGTACCTTGCACTTGAAGCAAAATAAAAAATAAAATTTGCTACCAAATCCTTATCTCAATTAAGCCGATTATACTACATTAGGACCACAAGCCATTTGCTCTGCTGTTCAAACAGGTACATGGCTAACACAGATACAGAGAAATTCAGCTGGAATGGAGAAGAAGAAATAAGTTATATTTTACTGTACCTATTCACCACTTAGAACTTCCCACTTGTTTCTGGAATTAGAAAGCCTTCATAAACCGTTTCTTCTTCTAGAAAAAGAAATACAATTTACTGAGTTTGACACACTACTGAAATGGAAATTAACAACAATTCTCCCATAAAATTTGGCTCTTAGTTCCAGAATCCTGGGTGGAAGATTATTTCTGACAAAAAAAGGACAAGGCAAAAACAAAAACCGAGGACTGATGTATGGTATTTGTACCAGATGAGCCAAAATATTAGTATATTATTTACATTGGGGGGAGAGGGGAATGTAATTAAATCCTCCTGGTACAAAAATGTACATATTTCTGTTGCTTTAAGCTTCTTCCTTATTCTCATTTCCCTCCGTTCATCTTGATTGTCTTCCCCAAGGTCTATTTACAATAACTTCTGAAAATTATTGATTTATTACTGGTGGCAAGAAGAGCCAAATGAGAAATTGGGAGCCCTTTAGATTTGGCACTGTGCACACAACAAAAAGAGAAAGTCTGTCACTCAGAAAATTTACAGTTATCATCACTGCTAATCTAGAGGCTAGAATTAAGAATTATTCTAGCCATTATCCAAACATATTAAAACCAAAAGACACTTCCTTGAGACCGGTACTCAATCTATAACAGCAGGGGTCAACTTTTTTGGCAGATGTGCCACAAGGTAATCCTTGTGTTGTCCTCAGTGAAAGTCCAATCCCCTCCCCCAGCCCCAGGGGTGGGCAAAATGCGGCCCACCAGGCCATTCTATCCTGCCTGCAGGGCCCCTAAACAATTTAGAAAATTAATATTTATCTGCTTCGGGCTGCCTGTCATGTGGCCCTCGATGGCTTGCCAAAACTCAGTAAGTGGCCCTCTGCCCAAAATAATGGCCCACCCCTGCTCTGCCCCATCTGCTGCTTGGCTTTCTGCTCCCTGCCCCCTGCATGATCTGATATGTGCCCTACATAGAGACATCCTAACTGCCACAGGCTGGCCATCCCTGATCTATTGCATGATTTTATAGATAGATGAAACTAACTATCTTTGCAACAGCAAAGATAACTTCAAAATAACAGGTTTAGTAAGTAGGAGATTCAACTTGCCTCCCCCTCCCTGCAAACCAAACAACTTGAACAAGTTCAAACAGTGACTC